GTGGGTCTCAAATGTGCCCGTGGGCTCTAAGAAGGATCAGGGTAGTGTTCAGTCTCTACAGACAATTTAGATGTTGACATTTGTTCACCACTCTCTTTATAAGCAGAAAATGATGAAGTGGAAGTGAAACAGGTGAGCTGAATGATCATACAGGTTTGTCTCACCCTGACTGTGCAATAATATTAAAATGTTCATAAACTAGCTCTGTTTAGTAAAACTGGGTTTTGATGCTGCTTTCTGTATTAAATATATATTTTTTTTAATAGAGATATTAATTTTTGCAGACACATGCAATGAAGTTGAATCCTGGTGACTGGTCCTTAAAATTATCACCACTCCAAAAACAGAAGGTACTGTAACTAATTACATATTTGTATGTTGATACTGATGTTAAAAAATATGCAATTCTTGCATTGTCCTAGTCCATTATTGCAATTCTTATATTGCCTCTTATTTTGCTTTGAGTTTTTAAAAAGTCAGTAAAATTTTATAGACCTCCTCTTGCTAATTTTCTGAATATCCATGACCTAAAATTCTAAGAAGCTGCATGGAGGCAGAGAGAATTTGGGCAGGCACCTAGAACTCCACATATCCAGTGCAGTTTGAGATGAGTGTGTAATATTTCACCAGTTTAAGAAACAAAAGACCATTATATACACATTGTAACTTCATGTGATAACATACATTTCCACTGGTTTCTCGCTAAGAAAATATTTTGGGATGCAGTGTAAATAAAGATTTTATTTACAGATATTCACCATGAAGTATATTTAAAGGAGCAATAGTACTGGTCTTAATAATGAAACTAAAGTACTTTGTAGTACTTTCTATTTCACTCCTGAAGTGATCCCAGCTTTTCAGCACATTGTTATATTCCATTAAATTTTTATTTTCGATTTTTAAGTTCATAATTTGTTAAATAAGTGTAAAATTTAAAGCAGAAAGACAACAGATTTTCAAACTTCTTAGAAAGAGCATAACAGTGAGTACATCAGAAGATTTCCAAAGGAGGAAGGTGTAAGAGAACTGTATTAATTTCCTCCCTCATGCATTGCCCCTGTTCTGGTTTATGGGATGTGACACTGGCTGCACAATTCTTTCTGCATTTCCTTGGATAATGAGAAAGGTGTAGCATTACACTGATCATTACCAGGATGTTACATTCTTCTTAATATGTGCACTTGTAAATTCATTTCATGTGAAATATTCTACCTTTTATGCTGTCTTTTAATCCTCTATCACAAATTGTTTCTTTTCTTGTTCAGATGCTTTTGTAACCTTTTTCTTTGGCTGCCATTTGTCTTTAATGCTTTTTTTCTTTCTTTTTAATTTTCTGCTTCTCATGTGGAATAGAAGAACAATAAAAATGTGAAACTGAAAAGAGATGGTAAGGGTGGGCTGAAAAACAAGGATTCCTCTGTCACAAAGGAGGGCTCAAAATTAGAGTCTGGCTCTTTACAAAAGCAGTCTTCACTTCCAGAGTCAGCTGGACCAGATTTAGAAAAGAGTAGTGCCTTTGTAGGGAAGCCTGTGGCCAGAGAAAGTATAAAGAAAGGTAAATCTGAGCATGCACAAAGTGATAGTACTTTGAAAAGTGGTGCTCAAGAAATTGCTGAGGACAAAAGCATATTAGTGAAAAGGGAAAAAGAGTGTGTGGTAAATTCTGAATTTTTCAGAGAGGATGCAACATATAATCTTCCCACTGAAAATCAAATTCTGACTGAAAAAATAAATTCTTCCAATAAAAAGCCAAAAGCTGTTAAATCTAAGCAATCCCTTAAAATAGAGGTACTTCCTTCTGCTCCCAGGGATCAGCCCCAGGCTGATTCATTAATTGTACAAGAATACAATCCTGTTAAAAGGCAAGGGAGTAAAAAACCAACAGATAGTCAAAACAAAATAAAGGATGGTGTTGAAAAATCTGACAAGTGTGAAAGAATAAATGTCACAGGAGAAGAAAGTAGTGCAGAACAGAAGGAGCTTAAAAAAAAGCATCAGTTTTTGAAACAAGTATCTGTAACTTCATCATCATCTTCAACTGAGGAAATTACTAAAGATCTCCAAAAATATGTACTTAAGGAAGAGACCTACTATGAACACAGAGTTGTCCAGAGGGCAAGGAGGACAGTGACACATCTGGACTTTGAAAAAGACAGTGAGATTGAGGAGATGCAAGCTACAAACAATGAGAAAGAAAGTGTAGAACAGACTGATTTAAAAAGCCTGAATGAAGAAGAAATGAGCTCTGATGCTGTACCTGATGAAGTCAGGCCATTAGAAATTAAGAATGAGGAGGAATCTAATCAGGAGCAGGAGAATGAAAGCAGTGAAAGGGGTGAAAGTGAAAAAGAAAAACTAGATGAAACAGTTAACAGTGAAGGGGAGGAAGAAGAGAGTGAGGTTAAAAAAGACAGAGATGAAGTTTCAGTAGAAAAAGATGAAGCAGGAAAAGATAATGGGGAAGAAAATGAAAAAGAAGAATCACAGGCTGAAAGAGACAGTGGGAATGAGGGTGCAGAGGAGACTGAGGAGGTCAGCCAGCAAGATGGCAAAGAGCAAAGAGATGAGCAAGGCAGGTTGATGGAGGAAGTAGAAATGATGAGTGAGGGAGAAAAGGAGAATATGGAGGAGAAGTATGAGAAAGAGGAAGGCACTGAAAAAGAGGCAGGGCAAATTAAAAGTGAGGGAAGAGATGAGAGTGAGGAAGGTGGGGAAGATAAAGAGGAAGGGGAAGAAAAAGAGGTAGAGGCAGAAGTGGAAGGAGAAGATGAAAAGGAAGATGAAGAGGAAAAAGAAAGGGAGAATGAAAAAGACAAAGAGGATGAAGAGGAGTTGGGAGAATCATTGGCAGAGAGGGAAGAAGAGGTATCTGAAGAAGAGCAGGATGAGGAAGATGCAAATACAAAAGCTAAGGAAGTGTATGAGGATGGAGTGGAAGATGGAAAAGATGGGGAGGATGAAGTGGAAGAGGAAAGAGAAGATGAGAAAGAGGAAGGAATAGAGGCAGAAGTAGAAGGGGACAAGGGGGAAGAAGATGAAAATGAAGAAGAGGAGGGGGAAAATGAAGAGAAAGGGGAAGAAGAGGGAGAAGGAGTGGAAGAAGATGAGGGAGTAGGAGAGGAAGAAGAGAGTGTTGGAGAAGATGAGGGAAAAGAGGGAGTGGAAGAAGAGGAAGATGAGGAGGAAGAAGAAGGAGTGGAGGAAGGGGGAGATGAGGAAACAGGAGAGGAAGAAGAAGAGGTAGAAGAGGGGGAAGAGGGAGAACAGGAAGAAGAAGAGGAAGGAGAAGGGGAGGAGGAAGAGGAAAAAGAGGAAGAGGTTGAAGAGGAAGAGGGGGAGGAAGAAAAAGGGGAAGAGGGTGAGGAGGAAGAAGAAGAGGGGGAGGAAGAAAAAGGGGAAGAGGGTGAGGAGGAAGAAGAAGAGGGGGAGGAAGAAAAAGGAGAAGAGGGTGAGGAGGAAGAAGAAGAGGGGGAAGAAGAAAAGGGAGAAGAAGGAGAGGAGGAAGAAGAAGAAGGGGAAGAGGGAGAGGGGGGAGAAGGTGAAGAGGAAGAGGGAGAAGAAGGAGATGAGGAGAAAAGGGATTTAGGAGAAGAGGAAGAAGAGGATGAAGGAGAAGAAGGTGAGGATGAGGAGGAAGAAGAAGAGGAAAAAGCAAAAGACAAAAGGAAAAACTATAGTAGTAAACTTCCAGAAAAGAAAAGCAAACCCAGGAAGCCAGAAAAGGCAGAAAGCAGTGCTTTACCAAACAGCTCTAAACAAAGCATGAAATCCAAACGTCATCTAGCAAATGGTTTACATAATCCAGAACAATTTTGGAACAATGTGCTACCTCATTATTTAACCCTAAAGTAGCATAGACTACTGCAGATGCATTTTAAGCCTATTCAGGAAACAGATTGATCTTTATTATTTGAAAGAAACTTCTCATGGAATCAAAGCATACTATTATGCATATAATTTAAGTGCCAATATTTTTAAAAAGACTGAAGAAAATGTTTTGACTTAGGATACTTTTATGAGAGAAACTGTACTTTATTGCTACAATCATTTTCACAATCATGTTTATCATGTATGATATATAAAAAATGAATTGCTGAGGAGGTAAACTGTGTTTGCCTCTTAATCAAAGTGTAATGTCATGCTGACAAATCAATTTTACATTGTAACAGTGTAATCTTTGCCTTTGAATCAGCAACACACCAATTTTAGTTGCAGAACAGTTTACTTGATAATGTGCCTTACATGAAAGGAGTTGCAGTAAATTAGTAAAGGTAACTATTTTAAAATTTTGGTATCACTCTGTCATAATTGAGACAATACAAAATAACACACTCCATTTTCAGAAGACTTCAAACCTGTTTTTATTATAGCATGCATGCTTTTTATACATTCTTAATAAACTCATAAGTTTACACTTTACTCATTGGTCACAAGAGACAAAGTGTTGGAGCAGACAGTTGCAGGTTTCTCTTATTTTTCCTTCTTTCTTTCTTGGTTTCTATGTCAATGACCTTGGTAGAAAATTCTTTTAGGGGTAAACATGGATCCTCTTCTCTCTGGCTCACAGAAGTTGCTGTATAACCTCTTCCACATCACTCCATAATTTATTCCGCTTACTTTTATTCTGTTCATACATTGGTAAAATGTTCAAGTACTTAAATTAAAGCAAAGTTGCCAAATTTACGTAGGTCAGCAGATTGGAGGTAAATGCAAATGCAGGCCTGGGAAAGTGATGGCCTGGGACTTTCCAAGGGCCTTAAGGCTGACTTCTTATTTTGGTGTCAGCACACAATTCTGTGCAAAAAGACACACACAGATCTCAGAATCTGGCCTGGATTACTTTAGAGTTCAGGGATAATTTTTTGGAATATCACACTTGTTGATTGGATAGAACTAAGAATTTGAAATATACACCTCTAAAACTTTTTTATTTGTTTATACTGTGCAATACATGAAAGATTCTATGTCTGCCTACAAAAGACTCCATCACATTAGTCCTCGAACTCTGAGGTACTCCAGGAGGGGGAATATATGTTGTTGCTGCATGAAATACATATAGGTTTCCAGGATCAGAGCCAAAGCTTCTCCTCACTTGAGAAGATTTATGGTTTTAAAAAACCCTATCTGTAATCTCCAAAAAGAGGTAAACCAACAAGCCAGATGGAATAGTAAAGAAAATGGTAAGAAAGTCTGATTTTTTTTTTTTTTTGAAAAGACAAAGTTAAGACTTTTAGAATTTCCTTAAAATACACAAATCTTGCAAATTATTTTTGTAAGATAATGAATAACTCTTTCAACCATTCGGCACTGAACTGGCAAATAAAGAGGTAGGGACTCATCATGTATCATTGTTACTTGACTATTATGCCAATGGGAAATTTTTGCAAACAGACCTCAGTATTGACATTCTGTAGAAAAATAGTTTTTTAAGCCCTACTTGAAAATGAGGAGAGAAGAAGAAAGGAATCAAAATGAGTAAATGTCATTCAATAAAAATGTGAATGGAATCAATACTTATGTTGATATTATGAAACATTTTAATATTGTTTTGTAAGATGCCGGCATTAAACAATCTTTGGCACAATGTCTCCAGAATTTATTTTCTAGAAAGCCTGTAGTAGATCAGTAGTTTGCCAGTTAATCCTAGGCCATGTCCAACCTTCCTGCCTCACTCACCCCTTCCATATGCTGCATTTGAAGGTAAGATCACTTCAGTCACGTGCTGTGCCTGACTACAGCAAAAAGTCACCTCAGGGCTTTATTTTGTCCCTGTGAAATTTCAAACGTTGGAATTCTCTGGAAAACATTATCTTGACATCAGCATGTGTCTTTGGAGCAGGGTAAGTAATATTCTGTTAGAGAATATTTTAGCAATTAAGTGCCTTTCCCAAGAAATCAGCTCTCTCTAACAATGGAGTCATCAGATATTGTGCCAGTGTTCTGTGCTATCACTGAACTCTTTTGAAAACACTCCCTCCCTAAGTGGAATTGTGATGTGTTATTTTATCTTTCTTAGGAAAGATTAGGATGTTGCTGTGATTAAACTTAGAGTAGTATTGAAAAGTATTTTTATAGGCCTAAAACTGTGTTTCTTAGATATGACATCTACTTCTTTGTGGTTCTGGAATTCATCACTGGAAGAAAACTGGACTGTGAAAAACAAAACAACACTGTTATTTCTGGTGAATAATATTTCCTAGAGAGAGAGAGAGGAAAAAAAGAGAGCATTTTAAAGCAAGAGGTTTCCAATTCCACATAGGAATGGCCCTTCATTTACTGTTTGGTTGTGGCATTTAATGTAAATTCTTAGGAAAATGAGGACTATTTGTTGTTTCTCTGTGAACATATACTGATAGCAGAAAGCTTTCCAAGAGACTGAAGGAGCCAACTTATGGGCATCTCCTTTGTTTTGTCTGGATGAAAATTCATTGATTTGAGAACTGATTTTATGTAGTTTTGTGGATCATTCCTGTGGTGGTAAAAGCAGAGCTTTACTCCAGCACTTCTAAGGGTTTTCCATAGACTTGTTACATAAACTGTGCTCTGTGCCAGCATTTCTGGGCTTTGAGGGGACTTTGGAACTCCATTAGCTTAACGAGTGGAATTTTATTTGGTTTGACTCATTCTGGTTTGTAAAGTTTGCTACTTGTGGCTTTGTGAAAATTCAGTATATCCTTGGTATTTATTATGCATACAAAGAGATTTACATGCAGTACTGAATAAACATGCCAGAAATAGTCCTGAATTAGTTTTTAGCAGAGAAAAGAAATCCTGCATTAGAGAGAGAAAACAACAGACAATTGCCCAGACCAAAGATCTAACCATCTTTTTTCTACCAGTGGCTACTGGTGAGTGCCTGGGAAAAATTAAATTAGAATATTAGAGTAGCACAAACATGTAGTGTTACTTTGCCCCTGTAATCATTCAGTATAATGAATATATTCAGCATTTTCAATAATTTGTTATTGAATAAATAACAATTTAGCGATAAACAATAAATAATAATTTAGCAAATATATATATTACATTTACATTACATTTAACATCCATTTTCTTCCCTGAAAGCATTCACTTCTTCACTGAATTTCTTTCAATCAATTTTTAACCTGTTTAGCATGTTTTGGAAAAGAATTCTTAGATTTCTTTACATATTGTTTGGAGAAGTGACCCCTCTTTTTTATTTGCATCATTTGATGTCTTTGTATTCTTGTACTATAAAAAAAGAGCACTTATTCTCTCTTATTTATTCCCTAATGATTATCACATGGAAAAAGTGTTCAGTTCTGTGGTTTAAGTCGAGACTAAGTGGTTTATTGATTTATTACTTACAGCTAACCAGCAATCAACCACCTACATGTTTAATTTAAGAGCAGCAACACTGAACATCCTCAAAGTGTTAATAAGCACGTGGAAATTTCTGGGCATCCCCTGCAGCTCATCTCAGAGGTTTTAATCCCCTGCACAGTCTCAGAGACATTCACAGAATTAGAGATGCTGCCTTTTGCAGTGGGTACCTCTGGCACTTTGAGAGGGTGGGGTGCAGGTCTGCTGCTGCCTCACAGCTCTGCTTAGAGGTGAGGATGCTCTGGGTGACTTTGGAATATTCTGTAGCACAGCTCTTCTCTTGTGCCAGCAAAATTTCAGCAGATAAGTTTTTCCATTATAGCTGAACATATCAAACCATTTATTCAGATAGTAGATCTCTTTGCACAATTGATGCTGAATAACAAAAATGTCCTTCTCCAAGCTGCAAAAAATGTCTAGGTTTCACTCATTATTTTTTGTTCCAGTTTCTTATCTGGATGACTGCATGGATATTCTTTAGAACAGGGCCTTTCAGAATTATGCTGAAAGGACATTTAGTTTTTATTTTCATTGCTCTTACGTTTTCTTCCCTCCTAGTTTTTCTTATCTTTAGGCATCTTTTAATATAAATTTTAGCTTATTTTCTCCCGTGATAACACTACTTTTTAGATCCTATCTCTCGTATAACATTTGGCTCTGTAAAAAGGCCAAAAATGGGCAAACTAAATGTGAAAGGGTAATTTTTCATCCAACTGTAGAAGTGACAGTCTTTAGTACTGTGGCATTCTATGAGCAGCTGAGTAAATTCTTTGCTTGCAGAAATGGCAAACCCACGGTATTGTGCTCAGTAAAGTTCTGAGAATGTTTGGGATCCAAAGTCACTCACTGAGCTGTAAATTATTTGTGTTTTAATGGAGACAGGAGCGGATTGAAAGGATTTTGGAGAGACAGCTTTGGCATCAGAAAATTGCACTGCAGAGAGCAACAGAGGTTTTATTTTTCTATGGCCAAAAGAAGAAGAAAGTACACTTAACCACTCTCTTTTTTTAAGGATTTATCATAGTGCTTGTTGCTTTTTTGCTTGTCCACCTATGTGATAATAATTTAAACAAATATTAATACTTTTACCTCCAACCCCCATACTTAGTTATGAAAATAATTATTATCAAGACCCTGAAATGTCTAGTGTAAAAATATTTACCATTCTGGCTTTCTTATTTCTCCAGCATTGAAAAATCAGAAATTACTCTTTTGGTCTGTGATGGGTTGCAGGGCTGTCTGCTGGAGTGCCCAGGTTCAATGGTATGGATTTTGAGCCTTATAATTTGTCATGACTGGCACACCTTTCACACAGAGTCTCATTTGTGGTTTGTGTGAAATATAAGAGTATTTGTGCTGTCATATGGAGAGTGTGTGAGAGAGAAACAAAGGTGGCTCAGAGAAGAATTTTATATTAAACAAGGCCTTATCTGTACCTCTTTTGTAAGAATATAGATCACAGTAGTATTGAAGAGTAATATTTCAACCCCCGTATGTACTATTGTTTGTATAAGAGCCTGTGCTGTTCAACTGGAAAGTGAGCAATAAATACTCACCTAAAAATGAGCAATAAATACCAACCTAAATACCTCCTAAAAGGAGCTTGTGAGCCACCCTGGCAGAGCCTGGCTTTCTTACAGGAAGTATAAAATATTTCACTTTCATTCTACCCAGCTCGCATTCTATCCAGCATCTATCCAAGGCACAAAACTACTTTTATAATTAGAAACACAGCAGCAGAACTGTTGTAAAATTTAACCTCTTTTATAAGGCACTTCATTATCATCTGTGTGGAGAAAAAGAGCAAAGTAAACCTGATTGTGTCCTGTATCAAGGGTACAGAAAGAAGTCAAGGTGTGCTTTAAAGCCAGCCTTGCAGTGGCTGAGGGAGAATTTCCACAAGTGCTGGCATCACTTGGAGAACAATTCCATGGAGAAGCTGGTGGCACTTCCATTACTGAGTTGGGTATGCCTTGAAAAATCTATGAAATGAGAATGGGTTTAAAGATCAGTGATGGTTGTGTAAAAATTGCCACTTTTACATCAGAGAATTTTGAAGTGGGGGCTCTTCCCTGAGACCCAGTCTTGCAGTCTGTGGAGGTTTTAGCAGTGACTTATGGACCAGTTCTTTGAGGAATGTACAAAGCCAGAGAATCTCAAAAAACCTTCCTGCCTGCTTTGGTGATTTGGTGCTTTGGTAAAAATTTGCCTTCACCAATATTTTTATCAAAGCATTGAATAAAACCCAGCATGATTATGGCAGGATTTTAATGAAAAGCACAGGATTTGGGAGAGACATACAGTATTTAAGCTGTGTGCACAATAAAAGCAGAAGTAGTGACTGTCCTCATTCACTTGCAAATATGTGGGAGCTGACAAACTCCAGATACTAAATTTTTTTCTATAAGGATTTGGAAAATATGCACAATCTGCATTCAAGTTTGGGCCAATATTCCCAAGTAATTTTTTCTCTGTCTGTTAGCAATAAGAATTAATTTTATACAGCATAATATCTTCCAGAGACACAATGAGTTTTTCAGATAACACCAACATATTCTGGATATATATTTCTCCTGCTTTGCTCAAGTACCCAGGAGTTACTTTGGTGTGCTATTTCTGAGTGAGTGAATATAAATATTATTGTGTAAAATACTTCATAAGATATTATACTTGATGTAAACAATAACTTGTTTTATGGTTTTCACAAAACACCTTAAAAATTCTTTCTAGTTCTATAGAAGTTTCTTTTCCCCCTTTTTGCTTGAAAATCTATATTTTCTGTTTGTTGTCTAAAGAAAGAAAACTTTTATGAGAAGGTAACTGTTTTGTATATGAAAGTTGTACATCTGAGGCTATTTCAGATGTTGATTTATCTTGGGGAATAAACAAAAAGTATCTTTTGAGTTGCTGGGAGGATAAAACTTTAGGTAACTCTATTTACATTTCTAGTGAAAAACTGAAAGTACAAATACTTCCTCAGAATGTAGTTTTAAATTACAATTTTATACATTGGTAAGTAGTTCTTTTTATGCACAGAAGAATACAGATATATATCTTTTTCCAGGTTCACCTTCAGCAGCAAGCTGGCAAACCACAGAATAATAACACCAAAGCCAACTGAAATTATCATTAAGAGAATGCCCTCTAAAATTACTGGCTCCTTTGTGTAATCAATGCCAGTGTGCAGTCTCAGGATGACAACGAAAGCCTTGGTTGATAACTGTAATCTGATTAATCCTCTTAATGCAAAGTATGTGCACTGCCAGCCTGTGACAGAAGTGCACAGGTCTGTGGAGACTTGTAGGCTGTTGTGTTCAGCTTTTAGTAAATAAAATATGTTGCATAGCAAAGTATGGGCTGAAAAAAAACTTACTGGAAAATGAATCTGTTCAGTCAGTCTCTACCAACAACATTTTCAGCTGTGTATTCACTAATTTGTCCCAGGGTGATGCCATCCTGTTGGAGGGCACTGTTGTGGTAATTAGTCCCCACATGTCCAGGGTAATCAGTGTATCACTACAGGGCAGCTGCTGCTTCAAAACTATTTCTTCCATTATATTTACAAGAAGGCAGAACTATCTTTAAAGTTCAGTTTTTGACATTTAAAAATGGAAACTCCCATCTGACATAAAACTGGTTTCCAGTGGTTTCACTGCACAGTGTGTCTGAAATTACAAGTGCAGCATTGCCTTCATTTTCCAGGACACACACACAACAGCAGTGTTAAGGCAGTGTAATAAGTACCAGGCAATCCATATTAAGTGCTCTTAACATAAAATTGTGTAATTTGGAAACCATATAATCTAGTAGAAGCCTAGGTGTTAGCTTTTAGACAAGTTATGGTGGCAGGCTCAGCTTTTTGCTGGAAATTCTTCTAAGTTTATTTAGCTGGGCTTTTCTGTTTGTGTCTGTGACAATATATAAGGGAAGCTTAGTTTGGCTGCCTTGCTGCTTGTAAGTGGAAGGATAAGCTGTTAAATCTCTCATTTGAGTACTCATGTTTTTGAATTTTGTCAGTCTTTAAACTGTACAGCTTTCTTTCATAATCATTAAAGTGAAGGATATTTCTCTAAGGCTTAGAGTAGCAGAGCTAATAACTCCTCTATATTAATAGAGCCAGTTCAAACACCTGATGACAAGTGGCTAGCACTGGGTGGACTTTAAGGTGTTAAGCTGTCTCTGGAACTGCTTAGTAAGAAACTACATGGTATGAATCTTAGTTTTTCCAGCAGTTTTGTCAAGGAGTATTTCAGTCACTTCACATCAGATGCCTTGACACCCTGATGAGTATCAAGAAAATGTACATGTCTACCCATCAATGTGCCTCCAACCCACAAATGGTCAACTGAGCTGTTTTTCACTCACCTTTATGGTGTTGTTACTTTTAATGCTGTTCTAGTAAAATGTTAACCCAGTGCATTTTCCCAGTGCATGGACAGTTCAGGAGTGACGTGGATGTGCACTAAGTTTTTGGAGAGCAGAATGACAGCTAGCATAGGATATGATTCCTCTACCTATTTCTCTTCAATTCTGCATCAAAGCAAGAAGATAGTCTGTAGAATGTGTTTTGTATTTGTCTTTACTAGTGCTCCAGAAAGTTCAGGCCCCTGTGAGGCATTATGCCCATTGCCCAACCTCCTTGGACCTAACACCCATCTACTCAAAGTCTTCTGCTTCATAGGGAAAGTCCTGCTTGGTATTTATACCATTCATTTATCCTGTAGACATGTAAAAGGGCCATGAGAATGCTTTTGGGCTTGTCAAGCTAATGAGCTGGGCAGGTAATAGAGAAATCTGTTCCTTAAATGATTAAAAACTCTGCTAAACAGTTGTTGGTTTATGGCTGCTTGGCAGAACACCACGCAGCAACAGACATGTACCTACCTACCTCATTCTCAACTCTCTTTAATAACCTTTTCTCTGGATTTTTAACTGTTCCCAAGGCAACTGGAAACAGAAACATCTCTGTAAACCAGAGCTTCCTAGAACTCTCCACTTCAAGTGGTACACATAATAATTACAGCTTTCTCTTCATCACTGAGTTTTCATCAGATTTTTAAAAGATCTGCAACTAAAATTGTCTCATCAGTAGGTTTGAGACTTTCTTCCCTAAAAATATAAAATGGTCATGGCATACATTATTTTGACTTCTTGAGGAGATGTAGAAAAATACCATAAGCCTTCCGTTCTGAAATGCTAATTATGAGCAGCCCATCTGCCAGAGCTGTTTCCATAAACTAAGCAGGAGGGGTCCACAATGAAACAATTACAGAAATACAGAGAAACCTAGTTTGCAGCTGTCATTTGAGCAGGTCTGCCATGAATCTCAGTCTTCAGTGAGACTTTTAGCCAGAGCATGGCACCAGGTGAGACAACAGTACAGAACAGAGTGAAGTTTTTTCCCCCTCCCTCCTGTGGACATAGGACCACATTTTTATAGAGCATTCTGAAAAGAAATGTCTTTATTTTGTATTAATCTTCCCAAAGAAAAGCCAGCTGCAGCCATTTTAGCAGAAGACAGCTATACACACTGAGTTATACCCACTAAGGCAATACTTTTGCCCAAATCAGTGCAAGTAAAGTTATTTGTCTCCATAAGCTTGGAAATAGCAAATTTATGTTTAAGAATGTCTAGTGATTTATAGGAAAGCCAGTATAAATGTGTGAAAATAAATCAGCAAATATAGCTCTCCAAAAATCTGTGTATTGTGTTAAATCTGCAAGGTTATATTTTATAGATTGCTGTTCTGCTGTACTGATTTATTATACTGTAGCTACAAAATGTTTAAGGCTCTTTCATAGTAACAACCATGGTTTTGTCCTTGAAGAAACTAGAGCCTCAAGCCTAAATTAAACCAGTTTGAAATATTTTACTTGTATGCTCTCTAATACTTTTGACTTTCTGTGTGTGATCTTGGCCCAGACAGCTTCTCTCTGTCTCAACTTTAGAGGTATTGAAGCTATTCTTTCAGCATTATCTTTCTATGAAAAAAGAATTTAAGAGTCAAATAAGAAAATAAACCCCCTAAAGCATGATGAAAGAGAATAATATGCATTTAACATATAGTACATATATGTGTGCATATATGTGCTTTAATTAATAGCCTAGATTCTTAGATTATTAAAATCTTCAGGTATAAGTTTGAGTAGTCAGATGGTTCATCCTTTAAGATAAAAGCATGTCTGTATTATGACATTCTCAGATCATTCCCTACCATTGGTAAAATCTCTAAACCATGCCTGTAAATGGGCAAGCAGAAGTAACAGTAACAGAACTGTACTATCAGTTATGATGCAAAATGTGCTATTTTAGGAGTTGAACAGATGAGGTGACTGCCAGAGACACCTGTGAAAAGCTGTAGTAAATGGGAATGGGGTCAGTCTGGGAAGCTACTCAGTTAAGCAGGTGGCTTCCTTGGAGTAAAAGGAGTGTCTCTCACCTGCACCTTTTTTATTTTAGATGAGGAGCATGGCTCAGTTGCTGAAATAGATTAATCTAGTGTGATTTTAGGTGCTGTAGGTTGTGAGCTGCATCCAGAATGATGCAGGTCTCCCTAAACCTCCTGTAAAGATGTCTCAGACTCCTGGGATATGTGAGCTGGGCTTAGCAAAGGAGTTCTGCCAAAGGTCTCTGTGTTCCAGCTTCTGGAAACATTCAATGGTGGTTTTCTCCTCATTAGCAAGTTACCTTCTAATGAACGTGAGGGCAGCTGGAGAGACAGCAGGCAAAGATCCAAAGTAAGAGAGAATAGGGAAAACATTACCAACAGATAGGAGACAACATTTGCAACCAGGTGTAGGCAGGAGTTCAGTGTAAGGCTCCCTCCTCCACCACACTTCCACAAGGGTGTGCAGATAGTTCCCACCAGCTTCCCTGTGACACTGGCTGCAGTGGAACAGAAATGTTCTCTGGGCAGTGATGTGCCTTCACTTGAATTGACCTTGGAAGCCCTTGGTGTAGTCCCTTATAGTTCTGCAATGGGAAGGAGAATGTTTCTTATTTAAATATTGCATTTTATGCTGTTATAAGTGCATACTGGCTTAATAATGACAATCTGATTGAAGGGAGTAAGAAGGATATAATTGATTCATTTTTCTAGACATTTTACAAAAATAGCTTTCATGCTTTTAAATATTTATTTTATAATGCCCTTGGCCATTTTATTTTTACTGTATTAAAGTTTTATCTGAAACTAAAAATAATTTAAATTCAAATTATAATGTATGTATTGAATCTCATGAATCTAAGCTTTTTATCTGGCATTTCTTCATTTTCTTGAGAAATAGATTTGAATTTTTTTTTTGGTGTTGGAATTATTGCTGCTTGTGTCCGTTATGCTCATTTTTAACATTTAAAAGAAATATTTTCTTTCCAAAAATAAGTTATTTTCATTGTTTTTTCTTTAAGGAGGCACATGCTGGCAAAACATATGCCAGCTTCACTCCTAATGTTCCCTTGGAGGTCAATTTTTAAAAAGCATTGAAATTAAAAAACTTTGATTGAGGTCTTCTGTGTCTGTTCTTATTCTATCTCCTTAGAACGTTCCCTTTTGAGTTTTCTTGTGCTTAGTCAAATTCTGACACGTGATGAACTGATGTAGGATGAGGATCATGATCATTGTACACCCTGAGTTTCAAAATTATGTTTTGGCAATTTTGTCCAAGGAACAAAACTTGTTTGGAGATGAAGAAATAGATGATGATGATGATGGTGACGATGATGATGAGGAGGAGGAGGAAGAAGAAGAAGCAGAAGAAGTAGAAGAAGTAGAAGGAAAAGAAGAAACAGAAGGAGATGAAACAAAAGAAGGAACAGAGAAAGAAGAAAAAGAGGAAAAAAATGAAAAAGAGAAGGATCGTAAATCACCTGAGGGAGGGACAAGCAGTAGTAGTAGCACTGTGGAAACTGGAGAGGTAAAGACATTTATTCCTATTAAGTTATTGGTCTCTGGAAGAATTTGGTTCTATAACTGACTTCAGTTTGATACATGTGTACCTATCCTGTAAATGCAAAGTTGTTGTTTGTGGTGGTTTTGGTAGAGGAAGAAACATGCAGGTGTTAGTAATTAAACAACTTTATATTTTTAAACAACTCTGAAAGTTTTTTTGTTTGTTTGTTTTTGTCTATAGACAGAGGAGACTACTCAGAAAGAGACCATCATTCAGCAGGGTAAGAATTCAGTTCCTAAGAACTGGACATGCTAAAGACAGATAAAAGTTTTATAAATAATATTATAAAGATACTGGACAACACAGTTCTTGTTCATAATTGACAAAGCAGTTCTTGAGAGGTGATAAAATTTAAGGGGCAAACCCCCATTATTAATTGTTAATGATAAAGAAATAAATACTTTTCCCAGTTACATGTTACAGGACTGTATCCTGCTAAGAGCAGTTCTGGCTGTGCAGTGCCAAAGTCATGGTAATTTTATTATCTCTCAGGCAACTTCTTGAGGTGAGGTGCCCTGTGCCTCACTTCAATCAAAAAACTTCTCAGAATTCTTCCCCATCTTTTTCAGCTGACATTTCCTCATTCTATTCACAGAGAGATTATTTAGATGAAATGTGATAATTGCTGAACACTGTTCAGGATGCTGAAGATGTAAGTCTAGAACTCCTTGCAGTTTTGATGGCAGTTTATGAGAATTGTATATCCCTTTAGAAAAGCTGGGGAACATGAAGTTGGGTGCCTTGTATGTGTAGGACTTATTTTATTTTAGAAATCTGGAATAATCTAGAATGGTTCCCTTGAAAGAAAATAACAAGTGTGTTATAAAACAGACCACAGCCTTTATAATGAAGAAGCTGTGCCATTTATTTTCAATATTATAATGGAAATAGCTTGCACAGAAGGGGTGCTTAAATATTTTTCCATTATCCAGTGATCTGGAAGTTTTGATATTAAGTTTGAAATTTATATGATTCATACAGACAGTATAGGAAAATTTAAACACAGGAACATCAAGTGAGATGGAAAGTTTTTCCTTTCCCAGAATTGGTTCTGTGGAATAAAATTCATGATGAACCATAACTCCTGCCCTAAAATCAGCTTTGCCAAATTAGAATATACTTGCATATAAATGTGCAAGACATTGTCTCCTGTCTCCAAGAGGAAACTGTGAGTGTCAAGTAAAAGTATTTTATATTTTGTCCTTATTTACTCCTATAACTTACTCCTGTAAGTGTTCTATTCTTAAAAATTGAGCATCTGGAGAGTAATATCAGGACATTATATGGAGAGATTATAAAATAAAAATAGTCTTTTCAGGCTGGACATCAAGTTTTATTGAATATTCTGATTGCTTTTTCAGTTTTATTCAGTGACCTCTACTTCAAAAATAATCTGAAGAGTAAATTTTTTTTCTGCTTTTCTGTGATATTTTTCTGATTTGCATGAATCAGAAGAAATTGAATATAAACAATTATATTAAATTATTATTGTAGAGAAGGAAAGCCCTGACAATCACACTGTGAACAATGCTTCAGAGAACACTGATGACCAAAAAACTGGAGGAATTGTGGGGAGAAAAAAGGTTTGTGGCCTGATGTTTCTTTCTAGCTTTGCCAGTGACCAAGAAGCCAGTGGGCAGTTACCAAAGCAAATACCTCAACTCACATACCTGCATAGATAATTAAATTGCTGGGCAACCTGTTCCTTCTGTTTTAGACTTGATTTTATTTTTTGATAAAATAACTTTAAATTGTCCAAATAATAGTTAAATGAGTTAAAGCCCATTATGACCTCTTCATGGATGGCATGTCACTGACAGAGAGGTTGTTTATCACATCATGAACTGGTGAGGTGAAAACTTAGGACTTCATTCCTGTGGGACATTATCTAATATTCCTCCCCACATTTGTCTCTGAAGGCAGCAGCTGAGCTCATTGACCTTGCATCTATTTGCAAAGTGCACTGATTTTGTGATCCTGTATATCTCTATATAGGTGTATGAGCATGTTGAGGGGTACCTGATACAGAATTTCATACAGGTTTTAGGATCCAGAGGCTGCTGCAGAGGCTGCTGAGTTTCCTTTTGACCAAAGACCCTAAGCAGTAGTTAACTTTGACACGAGTGTGGTCTCACTGAGCACAGGCACTGCCGTTTATGGCAGTACACACATTTATCAGGAGGCATAGTAAGCACTTTCTGCACTGGGACTTCATTTTTGGACCTTGCCTCAGGCTCTTATTTGAAAGAAACCCAAATAAATGCACCACTTACAGCATTTTGTACAAACTGTACAATGTGTAATTTGTAAAAATGCAATCACTTTAACTTTTCTGATTCCCATGTGCTATTTTAACACATTTTAAATATTACAAATATTTCCTGTTAACATTTTTTAGTCATTTTGTTTTGAAATATAATTGGTATATAAAAAAAGGTGTTTTTTTATCTTGAATTTCACTGCTAACTGTTTCAGTCATATAATTTACCTGTTTTTTTCACTCCAGTTTTCCCTGTTTAAGCGAAAGCCACTGACAAGCCAGAAGAATGTATGTAGCAGAAAGGAAGACAGCTCTGAAAAGCCATTGCAGAGTGAAGACAAAGAAAAGGAAGATTTAACTGGTGAAGGCAGTAAGGATGAAAATCAGAATCATACACTGGAGAATTCCAGTGAAACTGTGACTAACCAGGACAGAAGGATGAAAGTTAATACATGTATATTGCTGTAACACTGTTATAATATATGGTAATGTGACAGTCTTAAAGCATATAGTGCAATTTTACTTGAAAACAGTTATGACTCGAGATGTTGATGGCTGCTTTTTTTTGATTGATTGGATTGCTGTAATTTTAAATAGGCAGATTATTTTCTTGGTATTTATTGGTAATTTTAGTAGTGTGAAATGATACGTTTATCAGCACTTTCCTGGAGATCTGTGGCCTTACCTGTTGATGTTCTAAAGTTCAAAATATGGGGTTTTTTATGTGAAGAGTTGAATACAGGCATTTTATGGTTTTTCCTAAATATTTTTATTCTCTTTCAGTCTACAGAGTACTACATTCAGCATGATACTCCTGCAAAATGATAATATTTGATGTGAGATATTATTTGGTTTAACTCAGTTAAGAGTATTGAAGGTACTCACTTAGAAATATACATGTTTCTGTTTTGACATAGAAAAAATAGCAGTAAAACCTTCAAGTTAACTTGTAGGCCATTATGGAAGAAGTTCAGTTGAGTATGTGCCTAATTTCACACATGGCAGCAGTCCCGGTGGAAACAGTGTAAGGATGGAAGTATCCTGCCAAACTGGGACAGGGAGAAAGCTTTTATTTCTGAGAGGTGCTGAAAGCCTTTGCTCCTGCTTAAATTGGCATAAGCTGCTGGGCCTCTCTCCTCACTGAATCAGGCCCAGTGAAAACTGGATACCCTCACTCTTGTTTCACTTGGATTCTAATCCTGTATTCTCTGAACATCCACACCTTCATGAGTCTCCAGTGAAGTTTTTCTCATAGGAAAATAATGCAACCAGAGGTACTGAGGCATCAGTATGACAAACTGATCGTTACGGGGTAAATATTCATGTTTTTCTCAGGCAGACTGGCTTTTCTTCAGATGGACATTTAGCCTGAGGAGCCAAAAATCAGTACAAATAAAATCTGCTTTACACCACTGTATCATTAAGAAGTAGGAATTCTTTATTCAGCCAGATGCTCAAGGGGATATCTCCTCTAAAATATTGTGCCGGCTGAGTACAGAAAAAGCTCCTCTTTATGTACTGTGTTTTACATACATAATCATTGATTTTTCCAGAATAAACATACACATGATAAATCATTTCCCTGAAATAATTAACATATTTTCCCTCCCATTTACACACATTCTTCTGTCCTGGAGGTCCCTTTGCTGGTCCCTGGTGGTCGGTGACCCCAAAGTGATCCCTGACCACACAGTGAACTGGTGAAAGGTGGGACAACTGAGCTGGTTGCTTTCCCATTCTTCCTTCCATTTTCCTAGTTTCACAGTTGCTTAAATTTTATATAATAGGTCAGAAGCGTCCAGAATTTATTTCATCCTAGGAGGGGTTCACCTAAATGCTTTGTCCTTGTAAGTATGGCAGGTGCCCAGGGTCTTTCATGGGGTTTCCTCAGTGCTACCATAATCATCATACTAAAAACGTGGATGCTTGGGTCATCCTTTGCCAGAGTTAATGAGGATCCTTTTGTGTCTTTTATTTTTCTTTGGGCTACTCCTGGGTTCTGCAGTGAACCTTACATGAAGGGTTTTTTCTCCATTATATTCACATATTTTCTTATTTTTCTGAATGCACATGTGGTTGCTGTTCCACTTGGATACTGTTGAGAAGAGTAAAGTGGAAAAGGAGAAATAAAGTAAATGGTGCCCTCATTAATTTAAATAAGCTTTAATTGTTTTTTACAGGGAGATCAGTCACAGAAATTGTTACTGTAAGAACAATTTCTTTTTTTAATGGTGAACTAATTTAGTGAGAAATGTTACTTTAAAATGTGAATGACCCTCAAATCTAACACTACAAAGTTTATGTAATGGACTGTAAACTGTTGTATGTCTGAGCAGTTTCAGGGACTGGTACATTTATCTTGTCCACACACTTTGCTCAACAAGAAGCAGGAACATATTAACCCATTCCAATGTCTTTTCTACATGTCTTCATTTTTAATAAAAAAGATTAATCAAATAACTTACATGTGCATGTGTATTAATTTACAGGGGTTTTTAACAACTTCACAATATTTATGTGAAGAAAAATGTAAAGACTTTTTATTACTGAAATGTTTTCATAAGCAGATGAGTAGCAAAAAATTCTATAAAGATCTTTCTCTGTTTTCTTCTTACTTTTTCAAAGATTAAGTGTATCAACTTCAGTCTCTATTTCTCATTTTTATAGTCCTGCCATACAGCTGAGATTGTGCTTTAGAATTGTTGGGTTTCTAAAATTTCACCACTAAACTTATCACTAGGTGGAGTTTGTGCTCTTCAAAGGCGTAACCAGTCCCTGGAGCCAGAAATTCACCTTCTCATGGCCCCTGAAAAAAGTTAAAGATATTCATTCTGTATCAAATTTTCTGTTTCCAAATTCTCAGAAAACTTTATGTTTTCTGGCATATTGCTTTTGGCGTTACTCTGGTACCTCAGTGTATTTGTATAGTGAATTTTGAGTTTTAAACTGTATGTCTTTGTAAAAATACAAATATTAAAAAAATACAGTTAGTCATTTATTTCTAAGTATGCATAGATGGACAGTAGTCAAGTTCTGATAAATAAAGTCTACATATACATGTTTGATTTAAATTGAAGTGGTATTAGTGCACCTTACATACACAAACATATATATGTGTGTGCACTGAGACGTGTATATGTATATATATGTGTGTGTGTGTGTATCTATATATATGTGTATATTTACATATATAAATATGCATATGTATATGTGTATATTTGTAGACAAAGAGACAGATACACAGATATATGTGTGCATATGTGTGCACATGGATGAGCAAATGTGTGCCTGGCCTCCTGAAAGTTCCATTTAATCCATATATTTACATATGCAAGTTTACTGATTTCTAGAAGCACAGGATTCATTTATGCAGCTGCTGTTCCTATGTAAGCTTGTGGTGACTGAAATTAAAAAAGGAGAGAATATGCTGTTTAGACACTATTTTATACACCCAAAGTTAATAATCATAATTAACTTTGTGCAACTTTTTCCTTTTTCTTCCACATATTACTTGTACAGTATGCAAAATAGATGCAGTCTTTGTCCTTGAGGAATATTTTAAGTCTTGCTGTTGACATTAGGGTAGTTGAAGTAAACTGAATTGATGATAAACCACTGTAAGTCCTGATAATCAAGAATACAGAAGCTAATCTTGCATGATTATTGAGTAACTAAGAATGGGTTCACTTAAAACATACTCATGTACTCAAACTACTTGAGCTCTTTAAAATATATATATGAATAATAAAATAAAATAAAATATAAATATAAATATTATAAATACAAGTAATGTAAATATAAATGATATAAATATTCTTTCTCTACATTCCATCACAGTGCTTTTAGGAGCTATAATATTTCTACTACTCACTACTTAGGGGACTTTACAAACATTTGCACACTCTGTTATGTCTAAATTCCTTTAAGGACCTAAATAATGCTTTGATTAAGTGCAAGGAGACAACTATCAGTGGCAAGAATTGGAGATATTAATGCTTTGGTAGTAAATCTGCTTTGCTCAGTATCTCATAGTGATGAGCTCTGAAGTTCACACCTATCTGCCTTTCAAGACTGTTCTGGAATATACATTTTATTCATGCTATGTAATTACCACTTTCTTTTTCAGATTTAATGACTCAGCAAAAGCCTTGCAAAATCTAAATCTGGCTAAACTGTAATTCTTTAATTTGTACACAAAGAAGTCTTTTCTTTTCAAGACCATTCTCATTTAATGTCAAAACAGTTTAGACACAGCTGTTTCCAATGACATATGAAAAACTGAAGAGCTATTAAGTTAGAATTTTAAGGGACGTTAACAGCATCAAGAAAATAAAAAATACAGAGATTTTGTTCTTTAGTACACCTATTATACGTGAGACCATGATTTACCATTTACCATGCTGATTTACAACATACTGATGCATGTCACTTAAAATGCAAAGTGAGCCAAGTGCCTTTGACAGGCAAGCCCATGGGCAGGGGAGATGCCTTTTGCAAACTGCATTGGGTGAAGCACCAGCTCTGCATGAAGCACAGGCCGTGAGATTTTAAAGGAACAAGTATCCAGCCATAGCTCAAGAGTAGTCACAAGTTCTCTGTTACAAGACAATTATAACTTTCAAATCCAATGGACAGTTGCTACAAGGTTTATTTTGCTTTTCTAACCTATCATTACTCACTTCTACTGCACTGTGGATATTTTTACCCAATAGGTTGTAATCACACATATACACATGCTTCTATTATAACTTTTGAACTCTTAACTTACTTTATACAGTCACATTATTATACTATAGACCCTTCACCATCTTACCCAATAGAGTTTCTGACTTAAGGTATATTCTTACTTACAACTACAGAAACACAAGTTTAAGATTTTTCTACTTAATGTCTGTGTATTGAATTTTTACAACACTCCAAGCTTCTTCTAGTCTGCAGATCAAACTCTTCACTGTCTGTGGAAATTTCTGTTTTTCTGATTCCCACATTTCTGAAATGTCCCAACACTGGAGTGCACCCCACAGAATGGCTCTGAGAGGGATCCCAAAGGGACAAGTGCCTGAGCACAGCCCATGTGCAACAGGCTGACATCCAGAGGGAAAAATCTGGCCACAGGAGCTGGAAGGAGGGTCTAGTAACAGCAAATGCTCAGTTACAAATTAGTATTTTTAACTGTTGCTGCCACTAAACATGATGACAAAGTAATATTAAGCTCCAAGAATTCTAGGAACTGCACAGAAGAAATGCAAGATTTTGATTATTTTATTTTAAGATTGTCTGTTTCTCCAGATATTTACATAAGTAATTCTTAGTATCAAAGCATTCAGTCAGGCAATTCATGGGACTAAAACTGTGTGGTTTGGATTGGGGCCCTATTTGTCATCCTCTTATGATTAATTAGACCTCACTCACAAGTTCCTAACTTTCATTACACACATGTGGGTTGTTTAAGGTATTGTTTTTATTTCCTTATAATTCTTTTACTATTTGGATAAAAAATATTAGATTGTTAAACATTATTAAAATTTGATTTTAATTAGTTTCTCCTCTCTGTCAAAAGTTGTATTTTTATTATCACTGTAACTGCAGTTGTTACAGCTATTCTGGCACAAATAATAAAAGAGTAATAAAATTATACTTTTGAACTGCTATTAAAAGAAGCAGAAAAGAAAAATTATGTCTTTATATTTACTCTTTGACATAACAAGAATATTTTTTAAGTGTCCAAGAGCACTTAGCTTTGCTTTGGGATTTATTTTTCTATTCAACCAAGACGTTTTCACACATTTCAGTCCTCTAGTGTTGCTTGATTTCAGTCTGCAAAATTTTCTTTTACCTCTGAATAGTCAAAACCTGAATTTTCCACAAAAAACAGACTGGGTAATTCTTGTGTAATACCAGGAGTGCCAGGAACTCCAGCTAACCACAACCTTAAATAGTTGTAATTTTTTTTTTTTTAAATTTAAAGGTTGACTTGGGGGAAAAAAAAATGGATTGTGCCTTCAAATTCAATATATGTGAGATTTGTTTAATTCATTCATAGTTCCACATGCTTCCTCCTATTAAAAGGTCCCTTAAGAAAACTACAAAAATCTGATTTGTTATTAGGAATTAAACACTTTTTTTAAAGTTGCCTTGAATTTGCTTTTCAAGTCCCAGTCTTTTGGGTGATTTCACATTGCTGTCATTCTATCAAACATGGAGAATGAGTATTACATTGCACAGAGAAACTCCAGAGCAAACTGGAGTCTGGATGAAGGCACACCTTGGTGCTGGTGTTTTTCCAAGGCTCATTTCAAACGGGCCATGAAGGATGCATCCCACTGCTACTTCTGCTCACACTTGTGTCTAAAGTTGAGCTTCAAGTTGCAGACTGTGTTAGCTCTTAAATCTCTTGCCTTTCCCAGGGCAGTTAGGACACTCCAGGAGCTGGATGTCAGAGGAAAAGCAGCATTGCAGGCACACCCGCTCACAGTGCCCACTGCAAGAACCCTGCTCAGTGGACAGGCAAGACAAAGTAAAAATCCTGCAAGCACCAGTGGTTATGTTGTTTGAGCAGATGGAATTGCACAGGCACAATCAGGAGCAACAGGAAAGCAGTTTGAGGTCCCACTGACTCCAGGGAACCAAAAGGGATTCTTGCCTGTCCTAACTTGGACACCACAGCTGCAGTCACTGATGGCACCTTTGTCTCTCACGCTGAGGAGACAACCCAGCAAGGAGGGTTTGTCACCACAATCACTACATTTGTGCAGCTGAAAAGGCCACAAAGGCTGCCCAAGAGAGAGGCTGTGACCTACGGGCAGGGTGGTGTTGGGAGAGCTGCAGCTGCAGATGAAAAAGCTGCAGCTGCATTCACACTTCCAGCAGTGGCTTCTTGTACCATGCTCTCATACCAGTACAGACCTTATAGTCACAGAAATACCTAAATGAAGGCCAGAGTTTTGGAAATGGGCAACTACAAGGTCAATACACAAAGGGAAAGAGATACCTGACCCATTAAGATCTGCTTCAGGTACCTTTTATTGTTCCAGTACATTGGAATGCTGAGCTCTTACCAAAGCCTTGTAGCACAGATAAACTACAGCAATTATCACTATCAGATTAAAGCACTCCTTTTCCTGATGTTCTTTTTTAAACAGAGTAATGTTAGTATTTTAATCTCTTCACGTGTGGAAATCTAAGCATTCCTTAGGCTGTTAAATTGCAGTTGCTCTGATGAAACTGCCATTCATTGGTTTTGTTACCATCTTTTTTTGGCAAACAATTTCAAAATGGATTATTGAGCCCAAGCATACTCAGACTCCACCAATACTGGGCAGAGCAACTTGGAGAACAGTTTGTGCTGAGGGCCCAGTGCCCACCCAACCCCACCAGGTATTTTACTCCAGAGGAGCTCTACCTTGGCCCCGGGGATGCAGGAGGTGCACTCACTCCTCTGCACATCTCAGTCTCAGACAGAAAATTAGGGGATCCAAGTGGGGAAATATCCAGGGGCACTCCTGATTCAAAGGAAAAGTCAGATAAAAAGAAAATGCTTTGGAGAAAGCTGCCAAACACAGCACCCACAGAGATTTTTATTTTAATTACTAGCAAGATGACATTTTTCTTAGGCCACTTTGGTATAGACAGCCTCAAACTGTGGCAAAATTGTCACCTTCTTCTGTTTTCGGGCTAACATTTCCCCTTGAGATGACTCTCCTTCCTCTTCAGTTGTGTCCCTTATTTTTAAAGAAGTATTCCTTTCCTGACTAGATGATATTTCCCCATTTGTCCAGGAAACAGTGCAGAATGTGGGAGGGACCCTCGGAATTCTCTGGGCTTGCTCCCCTGTAGTACTCCAACACACAAACTCTGGCTGAGGCTAGGGTTTTTCCCACACCTTCACCAGTTTAGATTGCACATTACATGCTCATGGTAGGAAGTACAAAAAGAAAGAAACCCCAAATCTAACTGCAGTCAAGCTGCAGGGTTGACAATGTCAAATCAAAAGTGTTGGAACATATGATGCTCTGCCTAAAGCCTCTGCCTCCATGTGCTTGGAGTGTCTGGGGAATTTGCTTTCATGCAAGGCAGGAAGAAAAGCCTCGAGTCTTTGTGGTTATGGAGCAAAGCCTGAAAATGTAACTCCACAACACCCTGGCAGCTCAAAAAGTATGAGAAATGTGATGACTCCAAACTTTATATTCTTACTCTCATGACTTAGGGATTTTTTTTTTAACATTTAAAGCTGGCCATCTGCAAGCTGCTGAGCAACCAGAGCAGCTCATCTGGAAGTCTGTTTCCTTGGACTGCTGCCTGCAAAACCCCAGGCCTGTGTGGGCAGGGCACTGCCACCTGGGATGGGATGGGATGGGATGGGATGGGGTGGGGTGGGATGGGATGGGATGGGATGGGGTGGGGTGGGATGGGATGGGGTGGGATGGGAGCAGGCAGCATGACCCCTCCCCAGAGAAGTCACCGGGGGGAGCAGGAGGGGCTGATCCTCCCCATCCTGCCCTTGTTCACTGGGAGCCTCGCTGCCTTGGAAGGACAGGGGGAGGACATCGGTGGCAGACACGCTGTCGCGGCCAGCTGAGGGCTGGCAGCCCGGGGAGGGGCTCTGCCGCTCTGCTCTGCTCAGACCCACCCTGGGTCGTGCATCCAGCTCCGGGCAGCCCAGCACGGCAAGCCGTGAAGCTGCTGGAGTGAGGCGCTGGGGGTGGAACGAGGCGATCCTTACGGTCCCTCCCAACACAAACCATCTGATGCTGTGGCTCTGTGACCCCTCTCCGTCCCGCTGGCCACGCCGGAGGGCGGCGGGAGCCCCTCGGGGGGACAGCGCCCGGCACAGGCGAGCTCCAAACCTCCCCGGGAGGCGAGGCGGGGCCGGGCAGCGGGAGGAGGAGACTCCGGCGGCGCCCGGGAGCCGCTCGGAGAATGTCCCCGGCCCCCTCCTCCTCCTCCTCTCCTCCTCCTGCTGCCGCTGCCCGCCGGCCGCGCAGCCGGGCCGGGCAGAGCCGCCGTGTGGAGCATGGGGAGCTGCTGGCTGCGCCTCGCCGCGCTGCTCGCCCTGGGCGCCCGGGCCAGCCTGGAGAGCGAGGGTGAGGACGGGGAGGAAGGGCCGGGCAGAGCGGGGAGCGGGGCCGGCGGCGGCTCCGCGCTGTCCGCGGCAGCCCGAGGGGCCGGGGCCCGTCCTGCTGGCTCGCTCCCCGCCCGCAGCGCTTTGTGTCCCGCTCGGTGCGGTCCCGTGGGCGCGGATGGAGCCGCATCCTGGCTGCGGAGTGCCGGAGGGTGCTGCAGGGTGCCGGAGGGTGCTGCAGGGTGCTGCAGGGTGCCGGAGGGTGCTGCGGAGTGCCGGAGGGTGCCGCGGAGTGCCGGAGGGTGCCGGAGGGTGCTGCAGGGCGCCGGAGGGTGCTGCTGCGGGTCCCGCAGAGCTGCCGGGTGCAGGTCGGTGCATGCAGCTCCTTCTCACGCCGGGTGTCACATCCACACCTCCACCGGGCCCTCGCACAGGGGAGGTGACACCCGCTCAAAGCTGCTGGACCACACGGGCTCTGCGTTGTCCCCAAGGGTAAAGTGTAAGTCCGATGGGCCAGCCCTGCCTCTCGGACCGTGGCACTTGGGAGCCTTTCAGCAGTTTTTGGTGCCCGGGTGAGACTGCATGCAGCAAGGTAATCGCAGTTTTTAGTGTGAAAAATGAATGGGTGAGTCTGCCTGGTTTCTTAGTAAATTTAAAAAAAAAAAAAAGCATGCTGATGCTATTTCACTTCTAATTGTTTGCATCTCCTGTAGCTGAATTTGAAATGAGTTCAGATTTAGGTTCCATTTCCATGCAAAAGGAAAGGGGTATGTGGTTTCTGCCTGTTCTAAAGCAGCTGCGTCTTGTCTGGTTAAACACTTCTGATTTGGCAGACATGGCAAGCAAAGCCAGTGTAAACTGGCATGCCCTGGTTGTGGTTTAACAGGTGTAGTCCGTGAGAATTTGTGGTCAGAACAGAGCCTTCCATGAAAGTGGGGATGGTTTCAAACTGAGAAACGTTATGGGGTCAAAAGAGAAGGGCAGCGGTGGATAGGCAAGAAAGGTGTCTAATACAACTCACAGCTGTGTGTTGGTGAAACCCAGTTTTTGTTTCCTGAAGCTATCCCTACCCAGTATGTAGTTCTGTCCATGGAGGGGTGTAAAATGGCATAGTGGTGGTATTTGTGAGTTGAGGTTTAGCTTTCCTTATTTTCCTTGGTGGGTTACAAGTGTCTTCTTTCCAAGAGGAAAGATGTTGGAACACACATTTATGCTCTTCCTTACTGAACACTAAGGTATTGGACACATCAGTTGCTAAATCAACAAAGACAACAGAAGTTCCTATCCTGCCATTTCTCTGAGGATTACTGTACTGCCAAATTCTCTTTATTTTCTTAGGAAGATGAGTGAATGCTTTCGTTTGCGGTTCATATGAATGTTAGTCTTCAAGTAGCTTACAGAGGATGCTAATATCCTATCCTCTGTTTTCCTAAAAGGCCAAATGTAACCTCTTTAATCTCAAAAGTCTAATTTTTGCATGTAATCTTCAAGTTGGCTGCACAAAAGCCTGCTTGTTCTGCCTTTCACTCATTTGAAAGTCCAATTTCCTCCTTATGCTTACTGTCAAAGGCTCCAAAGAGCTTAAATCATCAGCAGCTGTAATTGTAAACCCTAATATTAAGTTAATGTTTTGTGTTACTTTTCTTCTGTTTATTTTTAGTAAGAAATGTGGTATTCTTTCAGATCTTTATTCCCAGTATGAAATCTAGTGAAACTGTTAATAGGTTTTTCTCTAATGGTGTACTGTATTGGTATATAACCATTCACTTTAGGTACAGAATGCCATTAAGTAAACTAAAATAGACTTTAAAAAATCTCTACTGCACGTGTGTGTGAGGCCCTCTTGATTATACAGGAACAGGCTTATTGAACCCTTTCCAAGATGTTGACACTGGACTACTTTGTAGGAAAAGCCAAGCAGTCTGTTTTGGATTCATGCAAAATGCTTGTAATTCAATAGTGGGTTGTTCTTTAAATATCAGAAATAGTCTAATCAGCTCTTGAACTCTTAATTTGGTAACACTGAATTTTCTGGTGTAGGACATTTGTGTTCCACAATTCCAAAGACTCTGTTAAACACCACACTAAATAGGTGTTATTTTCATGCCCTAAGAATTCTGCTATCAATTTTTTGATGGCGGGCAAGTAGAAATCAAGCCAGTATTCCACCTTGGAAAATGTAATTGAACTAATTACCTGCTAGGCACAAAAAAGAAAACTGAAAAATATCCAAATAATTAAAATTCTTAAAATACTTTAAGAAGTATTAAAGTAATATTTAAAAGCCTTTGAAGCAGCAGCTGTTTTAACCATAACTGTATTTTCAAATTTTGAAAGGATGCTGTGGATTCTCATGTTGGTATGTTCAAAGCTAATAAGGCACTGACAAAATTTCTGTGGTGTCACTACTCAGAGGAAAGTCTGTTTTCTCTTCAAAAACAGTTTAGAGATGCACCTTTTAGAAGGTAAAACAAACATAAAACCTTTTCCCTAAGGGCTGAAGTGGGAGATGTGTCTTTGGAGCTCTTCTGTGGTGTTGGGGAGAGTACAGCTGTCCATATGTACATATATATGGGGATCACTTGTTCAGTATTTGGGGGGTGTGAAGGGGAAATCAGGTGGCACTTTATGGTGTAAGACTGTGGTATTTGTGTCTTACACGTTTGGTAGATGAAAACAGAACCTTATTTATGATAGAATGAATGAGAACTGTGCATTGGAACAGGGTACTGGTGTGAAGGGGCCATGAACCTTGAGAGACACGTCACTAAAATCACTTGAAAACCACGGAATATTATCGAACTATTTTCAAAAGCTGTGTGAGATTTAATTCAAAGAAAACAATATCTACATAAGCACTGTATTCTTATAACCTATGTATATTCTGGATTAAATATGAGTAGATGAAAGTCAGGTTGTGGAAATGGTAGTTCTCAAAGCTGTGTGCTAGATCAAGGAGTGCATCTGTGACTGAGACTTCTGAGTGCCTCAGCCCTTCAGAGAGAGGCAGTTCTCACCCAGTAGTGTTTGTACTATAAATAGGCAAAGAATAGGAGGACAAAATTGAAGGAAGAAAGTATTTAAAGTTGCTTAAAGTCAAATGGCAGGCTTTTAAAAAATCTGGCATCACAATAATTTGATTCCTACTCGTGCTCCTTTCCATCAGATCAAGCTGCAGAATGGTCAAGTAGCAATCTCCAGGGCCCTGAGCAGCTGGTGCTCTGCAGTGCCAAGGGTGGGGCCTGTTGTGTCAGCTGAGAGTTCTTTTGTTGGGTTTTTCTTTTAAACACAGTTTGCTGGCTGCCTTGCCAATTCTGGGTGACAATTTGTATTTACAGGATCCAGTGTGGAGCTGTGGGCACCGCTTGTGACCCATGGTGGGCACAGACCTGGGTGTGTTGTGTGCTGGCCAAAAACAGCACAGAACACAGCATGGCAATGGATAGTCTAAGGAAAGGTGTCCTGGTCCACAACAGGGGGCTTGGAACTAGATCAGCTTTAAGATCCCTTCCAATCCAAGCCATTCTATGATTCTGTGATGTTCTGAATACAAGCAGGTATTCTAAGGCACAGCTTCATCCTTGGTTGTGCTTTGGATGGGCTGGCTCTGACTAAACAAGCTTCAGTTACCTGGATAGTTGCACATGAATAAGATTTCCATCAGCAGAGAAGCCTTGTAGAAATTACATTCTCAGGTAACCTCGGGCATAACAGATACATCATGCTAATATCAATCAGTAATGTTAACTCATCTCTTGACACTGCTTTCATATATTCCTGTGTGAAGTGGAGCGTTTTCATGAGCTGTAGTAATTCCCTGCTGAAAACTCCTTGCGGCTTATAAGTGTTACCAAGGCAGTACATTTCTTCCTGAATGGTCCTTAAATAATCAGGTCATTGAGTCCTCTCTGCTCAGCCTGCTTAGTCTTCAGCAGCACCTGGAGGCTTCAGTGCAACTGGAATCTCCAGGGTGAGATCACATTAAAAGAGAGTGAAATTTAAGATATTTCGATGAGTTGTTGAACTGTCCTTTCTCTCACAGTGAAATACACCTTCTCACAAAGCACAGACAAATAAACTGCATTTAATGCCTTGGGTAGCCAGGTCTGGGCAAGCATTGGAGGTGGTACAGGAGGTGCCATAGAACTATCAGTGACAGTTTATTTCATGCCTACAAGCTGCTGTACTCCTTATCTTCTTGTTCCACTGCAGCAGTAAATGCTGGCATGACAAGGGCTTTTCAAACATCTACAGTGTAGAAACCAGTGTTTTATACAAGCTTGCATTTGCAATAGCAGTCAAGTATGTGTGAGGTTCTTTCTGTGAAAAGTGTGAATGTGCATATAATTTGGTTTATCAAAAACATGAATTCTGAAAGTAGTTTGGAAATGTTGATTTGTGTTTTACTTTTGTCTCCTTGTCTGGCAGTTGAAATGAGTAGTTAGAAATGAACATCACTGAAAGCTGGTTTAATTCTCTCACTCTAGAGCTATGAACAGAATGGGTACTGATGGTCAAATTTGTGGCTGATGAAGGTGAAGGAAGCAATACTTGGCATGTTCTTGTGCTGGCATTCAGTTGAATAAGCCACTGGTTTGAAAATTCACACTCCATACACATTTTATGTATAGCCTTAGGCAAGCTGCTTAGACTTACTTAGCAGTGTTTGGAGATGGGCATGGGCTTAAGCCCACACCGAGCTGTCTCAATGTTTGCTGCTGAACAGGAGTAGCTTTGTTGGGAGAGACTGCTCCCAAGGCAGGGATCCACAGTCCAGGATTGTGATTGGAGTGGAAAGCAGTGAAAAGGCAACCCAAACCCATCCCTCCCTCCCTGTACCCCCCATCACACTACTCCCCAACTTAATATTGTCAATCTTTCCTGGTACTTATGTGAAATTTCTGAAATTGTGTGTTCTCCCTGACTGGGTAACAAGTTACATGCTCCTCTAAATACTTAGCTAATTTTTTGGCTTCCAAAATGTCTGTGTTTTGTTTGTTTTGAGGTTTTTTTTTTTTTTCC